TTCTGACCCTACTTCTATGATTCTATGATTCTATGAACTGTAATACTATATCAATCGGGACATGAAAGAGATTGGAGAAGAAGAGGCAAAGAATAAGTGGAGGAAAAAGGATTGGACGCACTTATTTCACTAAGGCAACAGAGAGGACTGATGGGAGGAGTGGAGAGTTTCAGGTGGTTACTGACATAATAGTTTTTCATGAGTTTCTGTATGAAGGAAAAGAGTTCTATAAGGGGTTCTTTTGTGGGAAGCTGATGTATGCTGTTTAAGGGTTTAATATATGTAGTTGTAGGTTTTGAAATGTAATTGTTTTTCCAATATGAAATTTTGGTAAAATAAGGATGCTCAATATGTGTAACTTTGTAAGTGTAGGGTGATAAGTGCATTTTTAATAAAATTTGTTTTAAAAGGTTCCCATTGGCATTTTTGGCACTGGGGAGGGTGTTGGAGCTTGCTCCAGCTTCTCCAAGTACTGTCATGGTATTGCAGTACTTCCAGGCTAGGGACAGACATTACACATAAACCAGTTTAAGTGATTAAAAACTGGTGTAAACCTGTAAGAGAACAGATGTTTAGTGCACATAAGCCGGTTTGAAAATGGCTGAAACCAGTTTGAGATAAACCTGGTTGAATGTAGTATTGGACTTAACTGATTTGGGTTAAACCAGTTTATGCAATGGCTGTCCCAGACCCCTTGCTGGTTTAAGATAAACCAGAGTCCCCCAGCATCCCGGCATGCTCTCTGGGCTGGGCAGGTCTCTCTGCTCCACAGCAGAGCTGGCCCTCCCCTCTGCTTCCTGGCTGCAGCTCAGCACAGACTGCAGGTGTCCCTACTTATCCCCACCCGATCCCCCTGCACCCTCTGCCTTATGGACACCTCTCAGCATTAGCTAGCAGACCATATGCTGCCTACAGTCCCGTGCTGTGGCAGATGGGACAAAGGGAGAATCAACTGTTAGCTGGTAATGTCCCTCTGTTGTTTTCTTAATAGGGTGATAAACACTGAGTTAGGGGTGATAAACACTATTAATAATTCCCCGCTGGGCTGGTCAGAAGGGGGAGGGGAACCTTCCCTAATCAGAGTGTCCTGCCAGAGCCTGGCCATGGCCCCCCTCAGCTCAGCACTATGGAAGGGAAGGGAGGGCTGCTTTAGCACCTCCCGGCTTCTAGCCTGAGCCACTGCAGGTATGTGCCTGTATATCTGGGATGTCTGTGTAGTTACAAACTGATTTAGCCTAGCCAAATTAAACTAACTCACAAAGACTGAATCAATTCAGGCTCAGGCTTTTTGAATGTCTGTCTCTAGCCCTAGGCTAGTGCCCGTTCTCTCCTAAGGGAGCAACTGCCCTTTTTTTTTTTTAAGACACACACACACACACACACATTCCCATCTGTATGTTTTCCCAATATCAGTCGCATGTTTTTGTAACGGGGCCCCTACTTCATTACTAAGAAGGGACTGCAAACTCTGGAGCCTGCTAGCCAGAGAAGCCCCCAAGTGTAGACTTAAGGGTAGGAAAGACTCAAGCAAACACTTACCACAAAGCCAGCAGCAACAGCATCATCAGGTGTCAGGGACCTGCATAGAAACACCGCAGGTCCCAGCAGCAAGGGGCCTTCCTGAAGCTGCTCCACCAAGCCAAATCAGAAACCACCTATGGCAGCTCTGGGAGGCAGGTGACCAGCATGGGGCAGGGCCAGGGAGCCATATAAACAGAGATCTTGAATCAGAGCAGGGCAGTCTGTCCCTGGAAGCTACAGAGGGAAGAGTTGCTGACCTAGAAGCTGCAGAGGAGAGCCTGGCTGACAGTAGATCTGCCTGGGGATGGCTGGCAAGGTGCTGCCCACTTACAGGGGAATATAGCCTATGGGCTAGGTGCAGGTTTGAACCCAGTTGATCTGGTTTTGTGTTACAGCCCAGGGGCTGATCTTATGGTTACAGCTAGTAATAGTGGCTTAGATTTGGAACTAAGGGGTAGTTTGGAGGTCCCATTAGTGTCCTAGGGACACATACTCACTTTGAACCCCACTGGGTGTAGGCTCAAGGCATACTGAGGACGCAGCAGCCAGGAGCGTAGCAGCATGGGGCCAGTGAGCCTGGAGCCCAGAGCAAGGCAGGTAAGGCCCAAGAAGTGTCAGGATAAAGCTGAGACCCAGAAGCTAGGTGTGATGCAGTGGGCCTAGGCTACAGGAACCAGCCCAGAGGAAAAGAGGGCTGAGACCAGGAAAGCGGAGTCCCAACAAGCATACACAGGTACCCAAAGATACATAATTATCCCGCAAGCCAGTGGGTGAGACCAGACTTGGAAAGCCTTGAGGCAGCCTCTCTTCCTTCAGGACTACAGCCTCAAGGTATGGTGGACATGCAAAGGGGAGAGTTCCCCAGAAAGGTGGACCAAGCTATAGCTGAGCAACCACCAAGGGGGGGTCACAGTCACCCCCTGGAATGAGCGCTTTGTTGCAGTTTTACAGGCATGTTCAGTGTGGGTTGCATTCAATCAACTTCACAGTTGTTTTCTGTTATTGAGCACATGCTACTTCTGGCAGCAGTTTAATGATAGGAAGTGTATTTAATAAGGAAGTTTTCCTGTATGTGAATATAAGATAAGAGTTTTTTCCCCCAGTACTGATTTAGTGGAAAAACCTTGTCTTACATGCAAGTAAATATGGTAAATGCTAACACGCAGTACCTGTCATTATACTCTAATTTATTATTGACCAGTTTAATGCATATCCCCTGCTATCATTTCACATTCAGACTAAATCATTTGTTTTGTGTTAATTTATGCTTATGCAAGTTTGAAATTAATTTTCTACCTAAAGCAAAACTTCCTTACAGAGCCACACTTTAACTAAGCCTTGGCAATCTCTCAGATGTACCTGATAAAATAGGCTTTGGATAGCTACTCTTGCTTTTGTCGTTTGCACAGATTGTCTTGTCTTGCTGTCTAACACAATTTGCAAGCATATTTCCCCATTAAACACAAAGACTTCGGTTACATTGAACCTATCTTCATCTCTTTTCAGAGATGAAGGAAGTCAGAGAAAGTTTTTAAACTTATTTTGCAACTCCAGGATTATCTCTGATAAAGCTGTTGCTTTTTGCTGTTCATTGAGAAAGATGTTGTGCTGATGGCACAGGAAACAGGAGTAAGACTGAATGATTTTACTTTTTTAATTTTGTTTCATTTCTCAGGCTTTACAAAGTAAAAAGCTAGTAACTACAGTGGAAAAAGCAGATAAAGCTACCAGGGGAAAAAGAGGAAAGATGACAGGAAAAAGAGGTGGAGAAAGGATGAAAAGTACATTTTATAAGTAGATACAGAAGATTAAAGAAAAACTGAAGAATTGATAAGCACAGTCACGGTAAGAACATTTTACACTGGATCTGAATATGTTATAGGTGAGAAAAAACATACAACTTTTAGAAGTCCAAGGATAATTGCCATGTTCTTATCTCATTGAATACATAACTGCTATATTTTATCCAAGGATGTCCACCTTATTCCAGTGGTCCTACCCATCAGAAAGTGTTTAGACCATTTGAAAACTTTTTGTTTCCCTCCATCTACTTGAGCATAAATCTTCAATTAGATTTCATTTAAGTCAGTGGAGGAAATGAGAGGGCATTTGGCAAAGCATCATTACGACTAGCCTGTAGACTTGGAGTTTTGATCACTGAATAAATAAAGGAGGCAGATGCGTTTGTGTACATACCTAAGGTGATATTGACAAAGTGGAAAAGATCATAATGTTTACAGCTCTATCCTCTGGGAGATAAAGAAGAAAGTGTGGTTTGTTTTCTCCCTCTTTATTTGATAAGCAAAGATCAGTTCTCCTGCTCGGTCTCTGTTTCAGGTTGGGGTACAGAATGGATTTCTATACCCACCAAAATAAAGAATATAAATACAAACCATTGTATAAGGGACTTGGTGTTAGCTATAGTGTCCCCATCAGCATAACAAAGACAAGGTTCTTCTGCTGCATTTTTATTTCCTTTTTTCCTCTGAAATCTTTTTGCTAAGAAGTTGCATCTAAATAAAAATTGTGATATGTTGCCTTATAGAAGTGGAAGTCTAAATTAAAACAGTGCAACAAAGTCCAGACAAGAAGCTGCTTGATTCTTTGATGGGTCTGCCCATGACCATTAGGGCTGTGTGAGGCTTTGGGTACTTATTCGATTTGGAGGAGATTTGGCCTGATTCAGCAGCCGCATCTCTGAATCCA